TTATCTCAGCAGGCTCAGACCCTCAGAGGGCGTTTCGTGCCTTACCCTATGGGGTAAGGCTTTTCGCACTAAACTCCTTTAAACTCCTGCACCAATTAGATGCCGTTATTTCGAAAACCCTCTGAGGGTCTGAGTGCAAATGGTCGCAGTTTGTTAGTGGATGCAAGACCTCTAGTATGAGCGTGCATATGTGACTTCTAGGTTATATCTTTTACATTATATCAACGATTTTCAGCTTCAAACTTTCAAAGCAGGAAGGATACATATCTCTTCATCGATTGCAACAACAATGGAACCACCTCCATCTTCGCAGCCTTCACAACTTGCGATTCCACCTCGTGCACTTCTTGGTCTTTTCAGCAGTCCATTAACAAGTCCTATATCCGAAGACGATGATCATGATATGCCCTATGTCGATGTCCCACCTGATGGAGATGAGGTTGATGGGATAAGGCATATAGAAGAACTTGGAGAGACAGATACAAGAGAAAGGACTGGCCAACGCGTAATGGCACACGAGGTGATTGAGGAGGTACTTGCTGTACTTAGGCAGCATCGTTGGTCCTTTCCGAAGTTTATTATGACATGGGCTGGTGTGCAAGTCGACCAGCAGATCATAATAAACAATACACTCTATCGCACTCCGGCTATGCGGCGGCATGCTCTTCGCAAGATTATCGACACCTTAATCCTTCACGAGGCTTACCATAACGCACATCTCTCAAGTCTTGTTATCTCGACTATCTTAGCCGAATTGGATACGCTCATCCAGAATACTACATACTTTGGGCAGTATAACAGCGCGGCTACTGTTGAAGAGTTGGATGATATTGATTTTACTGAAGCCTTCCATATACTTCAGGTTAATGCACCTACCTGGTATAGCTTATTTAATCGACTATTGCAGAACCAGCGTAGTCATCGTAAAAGCTACACTGCTATATCAAAAGAGGCAGAAGTTCAAGCTAAGCGATTATACGTCATTACCAGTATTGTGTGTCATAGCCGGGCAAAAAAGCAGTCAGACTATCTTCATGGTTGGCTAGATATATATCTGCATGGTTCAGGTGTAAAACGGCGAGTGATTGAGACATTAGCTGGCTTTGGATTATGCCATAGCTATACACAGGTCAATAGAAGGATGAACGCACTTACTACTGTAGCCAAGGTATGACAGTTTCATTTAAACGCCTGCAAACTCCTGCGAATTCCTGGTCCAATCACATTGGGCATTATATTACATCAAGTTCATGTTCTTAAACGCGTTTGAACAGCATATGGTCTTTAATGTTGCATTTGGTGTGCGATAATGATCGCCTGCGAACGCCGTCTCTATCTCTCCTACTAATACCTTAAGGTACCAGCCTATCCTATATGATTTTTGCAGTATCTAAATAACCTTCTATAGACTCCTATAGTCTTATTTAGTTTCATATGAAACTTCTGCAGACTCCTGCAAACTTCTTAGCCTATTTGATTAAGCTTTATACTATATTTGGCGTGCCTGCAAACCTTGGATTGCCTTATTCAGTAAGGCTGGGCATACTCCTTTGAATTCCTGCCAACTCCTGTCAACTCCTGTCAACTCCTGGCCTAATCAAATTACTACAAGTCCGTACACTAACCTAATTGGATAAATAGGATGAACTGCGATCATACGGTGATAATTTAAGCACTGTTCTTGTGTATGACAATTTCAACTTTAAAGATACTCGACGGGATGAAATACTTGGCCATACAGCTACTATGCGTGCAATGACCACGGCTGCAATCGTTATTTGTCCATCTATACCACACACTGGATTACAACAGTCAATGCACAATCCGGCGAAGCCACTTTCAATACATGATGTCTTTCAATCACCAGGTATTTCAGGCGATGGCACTGACATTACCCTGCGGATTCGCCGGTTCCTGATATACCAGGCAATCAAATCTGTCCACTCAAACGCATTGGCAGTATCTTTTGCTAACGATAGTCCTCCTACCATGCCAATACTAGATGTATTGCCAGCCACAAAGACAAGCTATCGTCAGTTCGGTGCTACATTTGAAGATGAAGGAACAGTTGATGGTACATATAAGGTACATGAAAGCTTATTGCTCAGACAGCTGCAGCGAGGTATAACTACAGATGATGACATCACTTTGTCTGATGAGTTTGCCACTCGATTATGGCTTATTCATGGAGACCAACTTACATCACAGCGGATACGTTCGGTCAAATTGGAACAGTCAGAGGCTGAACGGCATTTTGATCGTCGCAGATGGTTACTGGGTGTGCCTGCGTGGTTTCATATCCAGATGAACTTACTTCAAACAATTGTACGTACGCATTGGGGTACAGGATCAGATACGTCTTTACCATCACATTGCCTGGCTAGAGATCTACTTATCTGGGGTCGCAGTTATCGAAGCCGTGAAAGCATTAAATATCATCAGCTTGAACCGTCTGTCACGCAAAGCTTTAATGCTCGGATTCTTGGCCTATTCTACTCAGCAATGCTAAGAAGAGGTTATCTACCAGATGATTATTGGTCATACTCAAGCGACTTCTTTGAGAAACGTATTGCACATCTTCCTCCGGCTATCCTCCTTGAGGTGATGGATGATATACAAAATACTGCTTTTACCCGTCAAGCCTGGTATGGTACTGAGGATGGACAGAATACTGAGTTTCGTAGTATGTGTCGGTTATTACAAGAGGTGGAGCTCTTTCTGATTGTTAGATATGCAGTTAAGCATGGTGATATAGGGCTGCTGCGGAGGGTTGTCGATCCACTAATCATTGTGTTCTTTGGTGCTGGGCAGCGTAACTATGGCCGGGAAATGATCTACTATCGGTGGTTGCTTTCGCCTGCCTGCTCAGACACGCTCCAGCATGCAATCCTCGCATCAGGACTTGTTAACTGGCAAGGTGCAGCTGATACTTTCAAGGCTATCGACCTCGGGCTTGAGCACAATAATGGTTCAATTAAGCTGAATATCCAGACACAGAAGAACTCAACGCGGGACGTTAATGTTATATTTGATCGGATGTGTCTGAATAATGCTTATATTAACCTGGCTCAGCGAAAGATAGAACAGGCATTTGGTATACATATGCCTGATGAACATATCTCAGTATCGCCTGCTGAGGATATTTTCAGTTTAACACAGCTTCTTGGCCAGCATGGATGCTTCAGCAATATGCAAATGCCGTTGCATACAGCAAGAGCGTTTAATACTGAAGATATCTATACTATAGGCATGAGCATGCTAGCAGAGCAGGTGAAAAAGTTCAATACAGAGTTTGTACAGACGCGTACTCGGATGTTCGGAGACTACACGCTACCAGAGGATCTGGAGCTTATACCTGCTGTTGATATTGAGGACTATGTTAGTTCATATCAGGATGAGGAATAGGCTAGTCAGTAAGGTGAAGAAAAAATATTTGATTATTATCTAATACTACAGGCTTATCAGGCGAGATGACGACTG